ATAGAGACTTTTAGTGGCCATTTGAATACACTAAATAAACCTTCCCTTTGAGAGAATGGCACCTGTGTAGTGAGGCTCCATCTGATGCTGCTTTTCATGAACTTTTTAATAATGCCCAACTTCAAGACTGATGGCAAACTTGCCATTTGTGTGTAGGTGGTGACCATGAACTTTAAGGGGATGGATGGATGGATGTGATTCCAAAAGATTTTTGGAATAGAAATTCCATATTTGAGCAGTGCCTTTAATCGATCAGAGGGAAGAGTGGAACGAAGAAGAGAAAGAACATTTGAGGCTCTGGGGCTGGGCAGAGGGAAATGGCATTTCCCAGCTTTTCCCACACAGCAGGAACATTTGCCACATTGCAAGTTGGAATCTAAAGGAAGATTTTCATTTATCAATAGCACTGGGAGATGTCCAGAGAGCCCAGCTGCTCCAGCCAGGGCAGTGCAATTCCACACTCCAAGCAGAGCTTTGGAAAGTGTTTGGGTTTTTTTAAAGATAATGTTTACCCTTGCTAATTAATATGAGAGAAGGTTTCTGGTTTGTGCATGTTCTCCTGTGTTAACAAGGCATTGGATGGGTTTGATTATCCACTTTGGAATGCTGCCCCATGACCAGGGAAAGCCATCAGATATTTCAGTAAATAGCGTTGTTTACAAGAGACTGCTCAGAAGAATTATTCAGAATTAATGTTTTAAAATAGATTAATTAAATTACATTAAACTTGTGTGTGGAAAAGCTAATCTGGAATTCAGGTGAATTTAATTTAGTTGCTTACAAATATTAATTTACTTAATTAAACAAAGGCTGATTGAATTCTGTGTTAAGTGTATCAATTCTGAGTAAGAGTATTGGCAGAGATATTTAATGTAATTTATCTAATCAGCTTTAAATTTATATCTTTAGTTGTCTTTGATGAGCTTTTTTTGAGTATTCCAGTACTGGAGCCACTTCCAGGCAAGTGCTTACAGGGATGCTCAAGGCTTTTTGCTCCCATTTTTAAGAGAAAATGAGATAATTTTCAGTTGTAGTTTGATTTATCCAGCAGGTTTCTGCTGGGATTGTTGGATCAGAGGAACAAAGTGGGGTGGGGAAAGGGGGGCAGTGGAAGAGCTGCTCTGGTAATGGGCTGTAAGAGCTCAGTGGGTTAGAGAACCCCTAAGAGAACCTGGGATTTCACAGAATTGGTTATTGAGGGTGGAAGGAGCTCTGGGATCAGCTGTGCCCAGTCCCCACCTTGTCCCCAGCCCAGAGCACCGAGTGGCACCTCAGGAATTGCTGGGACACCTCCAGGGATGGGCACTGCCACCCTCCCTGGGCAGTTCCCATCCCTGACCCCCCTTTCCATGGGCAAATTCCTGCTGCTGTCCGAGCTGAGCCTGCCCTGGCCCAGCCTGAGCTGTTCCCTCTGCTCCTGTCCCTGTCCCTGTTCCTGTTCCCTCCTGGCAGGAGCTGTGCAGAGCCAGGAGGGCCCCCCTGAGCCCCCTTTGCTCCAGGCTGAGCCCCCTCAGCTCCCTCAGGATTCTCCATTCCCTTCCCAGTTCCCTCAGGATTCTCCATTCCCTTTCCCAGCTCCCTCAGGATTCTCCATTCCCTTCCCAGCTCCCTCAGGATTCTCCATTCCCTTCCCAGCTCCCTCAGGATTCCCCAGCCCCTTTCCAGCTCCCTCAGGATTCTCCATTCCCTTCCCAGCCCCCTCAGGATTCTCCATTCCCTTCCCAGCCCCCTCAGGATTCTCCATTCCCTTCCATGCCCCCTCAGGATTCTCC